CATTCATGTAATCGTTGTACTCACCACGTCTTTTGGGCCCCTTCCTGGTGGAAACCGGGGGGCGCTGTGAACGACTCGATGGCGCTCTTTAACCTCCGGCACGGTGTATCCCGCTCCGTGCACGTCGAAGATCGGTGCAGGCTTCCGGGGGATCACGACCTGCTGCGAACCTCCTCCACTCGTAGAGCCCGCCACCACCACCACGTCTTCTTGCGCCTCTTGTTGTGAAGAACCCGGTGCGGGTGAGGAACCCGGCGCGGGAGCAGGTGCATCGGGAGATACGTTCGAACCACCACTTGCGTCACTCATGGCTGCCACCTCCCCTGCTAGCCACTACCTTCGTACCCCCAGCACACCAGTACGCCAGTACTTGGTACTGGAGCTCTGGCAGCTCGCGGCGGGAGGAGACAGGAGACCTGTCTGGCGAGACTGTGCGGCTTTCCTAAGGATGACGTCACCAACACGCCCTTTGGTGGAAGTCGGGGAGAACCAGTACTGTACTGTTGTGTACGCGTACTATTCGTTTAGTACAGTACATATAGACTAGTATTGAGACCTGTACGCAATAGTACTAAACGCAATAGTACGTATAGTACAGTATTGAGAGCTGTACTAAACGCAATAGTACGTATAGTATTTTGGTGAAATACTGTACTGGGGCGAGAGTAAGTATTGAGACCTGTGCTAACCGCAATAGTACGTATAGTACAGTATGAAGAGCTGTACTGAACGCAATAGTACGTATAGTATTTTGGTGAAATACTGTACTGGGGCGAAAGTAAGTATTGAGAGCTGTACTAAACGCAATAGTACGTATAGTACAGTATGAAGAGCTGTACTAAACGCAATAGTAAGTACAGTACAGGATGGAGGTAGATACTAAACCCCCAGTACAGTACCGTGAGCCAAATACTTACTAAAATACTGGAAAGTATAATACGTACTATACTAAATGGACCCTTGATAATTTGCGCTGTGTGATACAGCAACACAATAAATTATTCATATACATTTTGACAGTGGGAGACGGCATAATAGACAAAGCGTGTCGACGAAGCCAACCGCGCGCGCATATGTCGAGCATTAACGACCAAAACAAGCATTGCCCGAGCACGAGGGACAAAGAAAAGCGTGCAGAAGTACGAGCACTCGCGAGGAAAATGAGCATAATAACCAGCTTGCAGAAGTCGCCATTTTGAGCATAACCAGCGTGCATAAGTCGCCTTTTGNTAATACGTACTATACTAAATGGACCCTTGATAATTTGCGCTGTGTGATACAGCAACACAATAAATTATTCATATACATTTTGACAGTGGGAGACGGCATAATAGACAAAGCGTGTCGACGAAGCCAACCGCGCGCGCATATGTCGAGCATTAACGACCAAAACAAGCATTGCCCGAGCACGAGGGACAAAGAAAAGCGTGCAGAAGTACGAGCACTCGCGAGGAAAATGAGCATAATAACCAGCTTGCAGAAGTCGCCATTTTGAGCATAACCAGCGTGCATAAGTCGCCTTTTGAGCTTACGCACGTGCCGAAAAACGTGCATAAAAATGTCAAGAAATAAGCATAACAGGTCAGGGCCTAGTCGTGGACTTGCTTACCACTCTAAGGCGCGTTCACGCCACTCCATGTTCATGCCGGGCGGGACTGTAATCGGGTCATGAGCAGCATGCGGCCTTGACGGGAAAAAACAGCGGGAGAGGAACCTTGACGTCAAACGCACCCGTGGACTTTTCTGTGAGCGAACCCATGGGTACGCCCATCGCCCAAGGGCACGCCAATATTCCGGCCCGTGGGCAATATGGGCGATAATTTTGGCCTCTTTTTCTCGTCTCCTCGGTTTGTTTGCCTCTCTCTCCACCCCTTACTGACTTGATCTAGATTTCGTCATCGATTTCGCTTTCGCGGCCTCGATGACAAAAGCGAGTTTCAGTGACAGACAAACATAGAGCCAGTTTTCAGAAAAAAAAATAAGAATATGGGGGGCCAACAGCTTGGCCAGGAAGTTTCCTCGGTTCCTGAGAAAAAGGTCAGATGCATCGAAGATTCTGTATTTTTTCGCATTTTTTGCAAACTGTTTGAGCCAGCAGCAGCACAATGAGCATGTGGGCAGTTCGTTGTACTTGAGTCACGAACCAAGCAACAGTAGCCCAACAGCGAGTACTCTTCTCTCGGTAGAGCGTTGAATTTTGGCGTTCGGTGTTTGTGGCTTGTGTGTCTCGTGCAAGATGCAGACGCCGAGAGAGCGCGAAACAACAACCCTCAAAAACACAAAGCGACGTGCTGTTCGCTTTCTCACGAGATGCACCGAAACCTCTTCCTCCCTGCGGAGCCAGCTCGGCAGAGAGGGTGGAGGAGCTGTCGCACTTCTTCCCTACCGCTCGTGTCTGTGCGTTGTCCGGTTGTTTGCTGCTTTGTGCCTACTGGGTGCCACGCGATGTGAAGTCTCTCGCCTCCTTTGCTTGAAAAAAAACTACCCAACCAAGCTTGACCCAACCCCAGCTCTATCTCTCTCCTCGTCTCTTTGTTGAGTCGTCCTCACCAACCCGGCACGACTTTTGGTTCGCGCCTCAACCCAAGCAGCCTCTCTAGCCGTGGCTAGGGTTGCGTGCTTCACCCGTAATGCGCATCGTGAGTAGTTCAGCAGACTGTGCCCGGCAACGTTAAACCTAGAAATGTGAGGGACTTCTAGGTTTTGGGAGCTGAAGACTCTCTCTCTTAAAGCTAAGAAAAAACGTGGTCCGCGTGTAGAACTACGGGACTGTGAATCCAGGTTTAAGATCCTTATTCTTAGATTTATTTTCCTTAAACCAAGAATTGGTTCGCCACTGAAACTCGGTAAAGAGCACATTTTATTAAATACAGTATTCAATATGTGAGTCTCGTATGTCACTGTGTCCCTACAGACCATCGGAGGAACTGTCGCTCTCGCGTCAACCATTTGTCGTCAACTATTGTATGCGCGAGAGCTTGGAAACACCCCGCCTCGTAACCCAGGCGTGCCCTTTCTCCAACCCTAGCGGTGTGTTTCTGTAGCTGAGCCTACGTCAATGTGCCAGCTCAGGGGCTACCAACTCAGCAGCACGACGGGTTTTGCCCGCCGGTGCTCGTATCGCTCCCCCCTTCGGACACAACCCTTTTCCACCTCCTTCCGAGCCAACTACTGTCCGTTGACTCTTCCCTGAGGTCTCCTGTCTACATCTGTCACCTCATCTGTCACCTCTGTCCAGCGCATCCGCGCTGACCATCCCCACTACTGGCACTCCAGGAGGACGCCTACTTCTGTAGGAGGTCGAGGGATTACACCCTCTGTCGGGCTTAAACAGTTCACGCCCATAAATAAAACTATTAAAATTATCTTCCACAAAACGTACCGGCACGTGCAAGGGTGGTTCCAGCGCCGAGCGCCATACCCTTTGAGGCCCCATCCACGCAGGGAGGGGAGGCAGGTGCCGCTGCATTTCATGCCCACTGCGTCCTTTATCTTCTTAGTGCACGCCCCTTTGAGGCCCCATCCATTCAGGGAGGGGAGACAGGTGATGCTGCATTTCATACCTTCTACGTCCTTCATCGTCTTAGTGCACGCATGCGCCGAGGGTCATACCCTTTGAGGCCCCATCCACGCAGGGAGGGGAGGCAGGTGCTGCTGCATTTCATGCCCACTTCGTCCTTCATTAGTGCACGCATGGACTTCAGCGAAATTATTTTTGTGTTCTCCGGCGGAGAGGAAAGGGTCCTACAAAGGTATAATTCGGATAGAGACCCTGATGCCCGGAGCAGTGAACAAGGGGTACTTACGTACCTCTGCTAGCAACGCCCAACGTGCCTTCAGAGTACGCATGGTTGACTCAGGCAGCTGAACAAAACAATATCACCTCGTTTGACGGGTTGTTACAATTCAGTGATTTTTGTTCTTGTGTTGGATTGTAGTCTACTGCTCTTTATTGCGGGGCGACTGCTGTGTAAAAATGTGAACAGGCTGGCTGGCCTCGGTCGTGTGACCCGCAGTTGCCTTTTTTTTTCCTTCTTCACCTGATCGTCTCACCTCCGCGTTGTGCGTGTACAATGAAATTTGTCGCTCGCAAATTGTGCACATGTATAATCATCGGATGGCAATGGTCGTTGCGACGAACCTGTCTATACTCGTTGGCCGTCTATGTAGCTTTCGAATAGACTCATTATTATACCTTACCGCTGACAGCAAGCCGATCTACTTCTTCTGTGCATACTCTGCGTTACCTCCTTCCCAACCCAACCCGACGTAGACCTTAACAATCTCCTTCTGTCTACTGTGCATTCTCTAGGTTACCTCCTTCCCAACCCAACCCGGCGAAGACCTGAACAACTCTCCTTCTGTCTCCTGCCAGCAAATATTCTCCCGCTTAGGTACTTTCATAGACGATGCACCGTGCCTCAAAACCCTTCAGCCCACATACTTCTCAACCACCCCTTGTTTAGATCTCATCATAACTCTCCTACTCACATTACATTATTACTCTCCTACTCACTTTACATTTCGTTATTTACCGCTGTTTCTTCACCACCCAACCCGGCGTGTAGGTACCATCATCTCACCCCTTCCGTCTATTTCCATTCAATGCCCGATGACTCCCGCTTGTGTAGGGAGTACCGCTCCTCCAGTAAACCATCATCTGTTTTTTCTTCCGTTTCGTCGTCTCCCTTCTCATAACATCGTACATAGGTCCCAAACCAACGAAAAATTCCCCGACGATGTATTGCTACGAACCCTAGGACTTTCCCTTGCCATTTCGTGGTTGTGCGCAACCCTTGCAGCGCATTCCCTGATATCCAACGTCACCGGAGCCATCCTCATTGGCATGACCCCACAGCTCCGGAGTAGAGCTCCCTCGCACATAATGCACGACACCATCCCGTAGGTTCCCGCCCTTGTGCATCCCATCCCGACGCACTCGGGGTGCACGACAACAGGTAGATGCTCTGATTCCTCTGACAGGTCGTTGTCGGATCGGACTAGTGTCGGGCCGGTTGGTCCGGCCGCCTGCTCTGCTCCACCGCCTGTTCCCCTTCCGAGTCGCTCGAGTCTTGGCAAAGACCGGGCACTGCACCTGTGGACAGCCTCGCTGCGACCTTTTCGAGCGCAGCCTTTGCGCGAGCTTGGTCCAGCCGTCCTTCCAGCAACATGCGCTTGTGCGAGCACTCCTTCGCCTGATCATGGGTCATGCCTTCGAACTCTCTGTCCATGATGTCCCACTTCTCGAACGACAACGTTGATCGCGCACCCTGCCCCCCCCGAGAAGAACAAGGAGTAGCAGTGCTTGCGAGGGAACAGCTCAGGTGTCATGAGGGCTATCATGTACGCATCGGCCCGCATTGGACACATTGGCCAACCCCCGCTCGGGGTTACACATGTCGGTGACGGCATACCGAGTCCAGGTTGGATATACCATGTCATCAGCTGGAGAATGGATACCTCCACGCCCTGAAATTTCTCCACCTTGTAGCGTCTGAGCAGGGCGAAAATGTTCTTCTCCCCGACCTCCGTTCGATACTACGTTACCACTGCCCGTTGCAGTACTCGGTACTCTGCCAAGGTCTCGTTGATGTCCGGTCGTGACACGTTTTTCGCGTGTGTACGAAAGTGGACTTGCCCTCGTCCTTCGATACGTATCCAACCATCTCTGGAGGAACAAACACATTGGGCGGTTATCGGCACATGGCATGCGATGAGATCTCCGTCGGTTTGAGATGTAGTCGTACAGCCTTGAACTCATGCTACAGGGCCCGCACCTATTAGCAAGGTAGAGGGTTACATCCACAGAGAAATGTGTAACTATAACCTTGACATTATCAACAGACAGCCACAAACAATACAAGCAGCGTTATTCTACCCTTACTGTTGAATGTCTGGCCGCGCTGCAGTCGCTTGATTGTGATCTTCACCCTGTCCGCCGTCGTCCAACCGTTGTCCACACTTATCTTCTTGCTTAGCGCCGCTAGCTCCTTCGCCTCGTCAGTGTATTGTTTCCTGATCCCGAGAGTAACCACACATTGAAGTTGCAGATGGCCGTGGAGCTCGCCCCTTTCCACGCTTACTACACCCCGCACTACCCATTCGTGAAGTCATGCAGACATGTCGTCGAATAGCCGCAAGGGTATGTCCGTTCTCCCCCGTGTCCCGATGGTCAGAGAGTTAAACGTCCGCGAAGTTCCGCTTCCGCTGTCCAATATCGCATCCACCCTGTCACCTGTCGCCAGACATCTCGCAACCGTGCCTGCGCCCTCAGCAGCCGCTGTTGACGGCCTGGGCTGCGCCGCCGGCATCGTTGCACCCCCCCCCCTGCAGCTCACCGGACGCCTCAGTTCCGTTCCCCGCCATTGTTGCACCCCCCCCCTGCGGCTCACCGGACGCATCAGTACCGTGCCCCGCCTTCGCTTTGCGGGGTCGCCCCACTGGGCGATTGGTATGTTTTGCGGAATCTGCCGACCGCTCCTTGCGCGGGCGTCCGACTCGGCGCCTCGCCGCCTCTGGTGCATCCTTCGAACGATCCTTCGGCGGGCGCCCCGGTTTCCTGCGCTTAGCAAACGGCGGAGTTGCTGCTCTCCGATGTGCCTCCTCCGCTTCGTCCACAGCTTTCCGACGCGGCGATGGGTTCCTCGTTCGGGGTGGCGGCACTTCTTCCTATCCACCTGCTTCATCGTCTCCCGCCTGACCATTGTCACATTCATCCCCATCGCCTGTGTTTGAATATTATTTGGTCCAACAACAGCAATCGTCGTTTCCAACTAAAGGTCCAACTACTCCACTAGTCTACGTTGAAAGTTTCCGAATTTGCTCGTCTAGACTTCAATACGGGGTTAGACTGATAATATCTTGCGCTTGACAATATATATCTCTACCTGCGTCTCATGTACTGTATTATCGCGATTTTCTTGTCTTGCTGACTTCTTCTGTGAACAACATTACAAACGGCATCCATGCTTCCTCCACATCTTGCTGTTCAGAATTCATCGCAGGCGGTTGATGTTGACGCTCGTGTCAGTCACTGCCCGGCCACCTCTTGCGCGCCTCCCCAACGGCCTTAGTAGAACGCCCAGCCCCGTCAGCAACGGTACGCCTGCCTCCGCGCAAGTGCGAAGTCCGTTCAGGGTGCTCCCTTCCCTGCACTTCGTCCACGACCACGCTTTACGCTTCGCTCGGACGATGGGTAGTTGCACATGCGTTGGACGCCGCACGCTCCTTACTACACCCTGTGAAAACATCACATCCAGAAGGCGTCGCGTGGGGCGGTCTCTGCGGTTATGCGAGGCCACCAAGGACATATTTCTCTCGGTCATACACCACGTTTTTCATTGTAGGCTACATGCATCTGTCCGGGGCGCGCGTGATCATTGCCTTTTTACAATTTTCTCTAGACTACATACCTGTCCCTTTTTTATGTGGTACACCACGAACACCTCCGACTCCCGCCTTTCATTCGCTTCCGCTGTCGTCCTCGCTCGAGTCCGACGAGCTGCCACTTTCCTCCGAGGAGCTGGTCCCGGCCTCCTCGCTGCTGTCGGAATCACTGCTCTCACTGTCGGCGCTGCTCTCTTCCGAGCTCTCCTCAGCGGCTTCCTGTAACTAGACCCTTCGGAGCTCGATTCTCAGGCGCTGCTGCTCTCCTCCGAGCTGATGCTCTCTTTGCTGGATTCTGAACTGCTTTCTTCGTCCTCGGAGTTGTCGCTGGCCTCTTCCCCGTCGCTGTCCTGTTCGTCACTGCTGTACCCGCTGTCCTGTTCCGCACTAGCGACCCCTGCCATTTTCAATTTCAGATGACACCGAGAGAGACGGCCGGGCAGGAAGAAGCAGGTGTGCCTGAGGCATATTTTGAAGCAGATACAGGGTGATCAGAATGTGGCCGATTTCGGTTTGGCGATGCGTACGATTGTCAGCCGCCAAAGTTTGACCTAGCATTCGCCCCACAAATAAATACCGTCCGTCGCCTTGTGCAATACCATGCACCACATGTATTTTTCATTCGCGTCTAGTGTACTCTAACGTGCTCCTCTTTTACTTCAAAATATGCCTCAGGCACACCTGTTTCTTCCTGCCCGGCCGTTCCTCCCTCCCCTTTCTGCACAGCTGCTTTCTTGTCCGCCTCGACTTTTTTCTCGATCACCCGCCAGCCGCCGCTGCTGCTGCCACCTGTTCAGTTTTTGGGTACATTTTAGAATACATATCTCCACGTGTGATTGGACACATCATTGCAGGATGTGCGACAGCAAGGCCACTATCCAATCTCTCCCCCTCTTCTCGTATTGTGCGTCTCTGCCTTGTTCGTTTGTTTAGTCCTCACCTTCCTTGTCGTCGTACTTGACCCCGCCAGGTCTTCCTCTTTTTCTCCGGGCTTTTCTTCAATTCGTGTTTCACGGCCTTCCGCTTCGACTCCTTCGCAGCGACTCTCTGTCTCGCTATCGCTGTCGCTTGTTTCGTGTTCGTAAATAGCAGAATCTTCCGATTCCTCGCTTTCCGACTCGATGAATCCCACGAAGTTCGACTGCGCGCTTTGCTGAATTCCCAGTCAGCCCCCCTTCTCGATCTCCTTGCGTTTCTCAATATTCAACGCCAGCAGGCACACCTAATTCATCAACATCATCAGTCATCATGCGGTTTGACTTCCACACGTCATGTATTTGAATTTTCGCCTGTCTGTGCCTCTTCATCGGACCACCATGCCGGTGGCTCGACATGTCCAATGCAATGGTGCTACGTCCTCGTGGGAAATGATCACAGACATCTATCTACGTCCCTCTTGGCAACCCCGCGCTCCGAATACCTTCGGTCCAACTACGTCCTTCAATATGATTTTCGGTTTAACTTGACACCATAACGCAACTTCTAGCGTGTTCCGGTGTAATTTTTTCGGCAACGTTGCCTCTCCTATTCGCTTGCTCATCTGCTCTATACATCTTACCTGGTACTGCTAGTACTGCTGTTTTACACTACCCTCCACCGCACTTCCATAAAAACAATATTCTTGGTATGTTCGGTGCTGCGTTTCTTCCATCCTAATACGTTTATCATCCGTTTATACCGCCCTTGAATCCTTCTCTCAGCTTGTTCGTTAAGCCCAGCTCCTTCCGCAATGACCTCGCTGTCTTCCTCGCCTCGACTACGGCCTTGGTGAAAAGTATCCAGCTCCTCGGCGCTATTGCCTTGGAGGCCCCTCCCGGACAGTGCTTGAACATTTTCCCATTGAGTTGGTCACGGAACTCGTACGCGTTCACTGCCACCACTAGCGGCGTATCCACAAGGCAATGTTGCACAGCCGATTGCCCCTTCGACATTCCCGGCCCTTCGTCCTGCTGCACCTTTCAGTGTAGTTATCGTCGAGCAGCTTCTTGTAGGGTGGATGGTCGACGAAAGTGGGAGAAGTGGGTGCGTGGGGGGTGTGCGCCTCCACGCTCCAAAATCGCTTCGCTACATACATCTCCGGGTTTTTTTTTTGTCTGACGTGCCTGTACGGTCTCCCAGTAGCGATCACCCTGCATGGTACTAGGTCGCCAGTATATGCCGCTTTGCTAAAATCCTTCTCGCATGATTTCATGCGCTTGTTGTCGTGCCTCACGAATACGTTCCGCTTCAAAAAACCGTTTTCCCGCGTCCTCCCTATATTTTTTGGCCTGTACATACGTGCTGTGTCGTTCTTGGCGTAAATTCCCCCTCTCATTTGTTTAGAGCCTACTACTGTTCAATTCTTTGTCGCTTTTAATTTCTACCTTTGTCAAATCATTTTGATGCTTCCATGCCACCTTCTGACATCTTTCTTGGTCTACATCTCTCAACATGGTTCGGTTTTTTTCCCATCATCCCCTCGTGCACATACCCCCACTTCTCCGCGACCATTGCACCTCCTTCGTCCGACCTTTGTTTCTTCGCTTCCGGGTATGTCCGTTCCCATCTTCATACGTTCTGATTCTGCGCGTTCATAGCTAGCTGCGTTTCGCTGGCATACACATCAGTTCCTTCCGATCACGGTTGTCTCATGCTATTTTTGTCTCACGCTGTTTTTCCATCAGTCCAACAGCACCCGACTTCGTCGTGTAGTAGTCTTTATCAGTCTGTCTGTTGTGCACTGCCTCCATGCACACGAATAACATGCTTCAATAGGCTGTGCGACTCTGCGCGCCAACGTCATATGGCGGCCGTGTGCACTCCTGTACGAATCATGACTGCACAATCGTGTACACACGCGCCTTGTCTCCTTCCACTTCTACCATGCTTCTCCCTTCCTCCCGTGCTTGATGGTTGATGTCTTTGATGGGTTGATGGTTTATTTTCGAATGTATTTTAATTAAATTTAATTCCTCTTCATTTCCCCTCCCCAATATATGTAAAACGCCACCGCTTTGAACTTAGAGAGGTTACGCTGGCAGCAGCATCAATTCGGCCTCGAGTTTGTACTCAGACGAGAGCGTTAAGAAGGATGCCACAGCGAGTTTTTTTGACGCAAAACGACGATGCGAACCGTCTTCCTTGATGTCCCGTGGCGGGTTCCTTCAACTACGAAAGCTGTTGCGGTGCCTTTGCGAAGATGACCTACACTAGCACACAGCCGAGGGAAGCGGAGGGCTTCCTTGATTTCCGCTTCTCTGGCTATATCTTCGAACCCTAACCGCTCACTCTAGCCGTTGTCTTGTTTTTGTCGTTCGCCCTCTTTTTCGCAGATGAGCATGCATGATATGACGACAAAGTCTCAGCACTTCGTCCCACAGGCCGACGACCCAGCGATCGGTAGGCGATGAGCGTTATTTCCTTCGGGAACACGAAACGAACGATTCCTCTTCATTCTGATAGTGATCTTCTTGCGACATGTTGTTTATGTCTTTCAAATCTGGGAGATGGAGGTTTCTTGGCTAAGAACCCAGCAGCAACCTACCTCCATCGGTCAGTTCCCTATATGCACGGTCAACACTACATGCATGCAGTGCAAAGTAACGAAGAAACACGTCGTGCAGCACCTAAAGATGCATTGCGTCGGGCGTTGTAAGGCGTACCTGTAAATACTGTGGTCAAGGTAGTGTCGTCTTGGAGCCGGCTCCCGACACCAACAACAAGTAGACCTTCACGAGCTATTTTTCTCCCCACATCAATGCTGACGCTTCCAGATTCCCGCAGAGGCGCCCCCCTGCCTGTCCGAGCTGTGTTTGGGACGATGTCCGTCCCCAATCTTCTCGACGCCGCTGCCACTCAAGAATCCCTGGAATACTTTCTCAACGCGGGCTTCGATGAGATTGACACGGCCATCCTCTACGAGAAAGCGGGGACGGAAGCAGCTCTAGGTGCGAATGTGCTCAGGTTTAGCCATTTGTCACATTCTGCTTGACATACATACGCATGTGCGTTGTCGTTGGTCGTCGACCGTACATCATGGGGCACAGCGAGTCTCTCTCCTGCTCCTCGTAGAGACAGCTTCTGCCACACCGGTAGGGTGATCGTACTTCAAGCCTGCACCTTGTTTGCAATATGGTGCTTTTGGATTTGGCGTCCTTCGTCTATGGTGGCACTCACGATGCCGTCCACTACGTCCAGCCAGATGTTCACCAAAGATGCAGCACGCATCTTCGTATCGTTTCCCTCTTCGCCGGCAGGCAAGATCGGTATGTCCCGATTCAAGGTCGCGGCGAAGGCCAACCCCTGGCGGAAGGACGACGGCAGCCATGACTTTTCCTCTCCCACCTACGGCCTCAGACCCGGGTTGGTCAAGGAGCAACTCCGCCGGTCCATCCGAGCTCTAGGGTGAGGTTTGACTAGACTCGGCCGGCTGATCTTTCAATCGATTGCTTTCTCCCTCAATTGTATGCAGTCTTGCAGCACTCATGTCCGTGGCGATCGATACATTGCCGGGGCACGGATGTAACGATTTGATGCAACAGTCACACATGTGCCCCCTCCCCGCTGGGGCTGACGGGAAGGGCGCGTTGTGGGTGTGAGGTACTGTTCGAAGTTGGCTTGGTCGCCATTCCTCATACCCGTTCGCCATCGCTGCCGTTTCGCTTCCTACGCCCCCTGATCTCCTCTCCCGGACCCGTCGTGGATCATACATGCCATGCCCTCCCAAACGCCAAGGGTTCAGTCGGTGGAGCTTTTTTACCTTCACTCCCCAGACCACAACACGCCCATCGAAACGACTTTGATGGCTGTGCACGAGCTTGGGGAGGAAGGTCTCTTCCGTGAGTGGGGCTTGTCCAACTACGCGGCCGGTGACGTGTTGGACATCTGGCGCATCTGCAAGTGAGAGAAACAACGCATCCCTCGACCCTCGAGAGTTGGGGATACCCAGCAGGGCGTCGATGGACGGCCGCCCGCCCACCCCCACACCTGAAAAGATGTATAATGTATGGTACAATCGTGTGCAATATGTTGTGAATAGGTGTACCATGATTATGATGGTATTTTTCTCTGAGGTGAAAAGTGCCGGACTTCGGAATAAAGACGGGGTGGAGGAGGTAGAACGTGAACCAAAGATACTCGAGTACGTATGCAGATGCACCGAGCATCCAAGCGGCTTCCATCAACTCAGGAGCTAGCCCTAGACCGCCTATTTGATGGTGTTTCGCTTGTCGTCAGCGGCTTAACGCAGCAGGTCGCCTGTACAGAGGCGTGTGTTTCGCTTTCCACCTCCTTGCAGTGCATGCTAGACGAAAAGCTTATGCGGGAAGGAGAGTCGGAGTCTGGTTTACCCTGGCCAACATACCTCCATTTTGCTCCGTGATGCAACGCTCCGCTTTGCTTCACTATGCACCGCTTTGTGATTTTTCAGGGGCTTCAACCCTGACCTTTTCCTAGAAATGCATGAAACGGAATTCGATTTTCGTTGGGGGCGGCTTTAGCTTTTTCTTCAATGTACGCACCTAAGTTCGGAGTTCCCCCGGCAGACCACGGCTTCCTCGACAATGACAGAAGTACGAAGCAGGCGAGAACAAACCATAAAATTGTCTGTACCTCTCGGCACGTACCAAACTCCTTGAATGTCATCAATGTGATACATCCCTGTCTCTCCAACGCCGGCTGGGCTACCAACTCTCATACTGCGTGTGCGATGAAAAGGGTGAACGGGTGGCGGACGCCTTCCGTGTATCAGGGAATGTACAACGCCGTCACGAGGGACGTGGAGCGGGAGCTGCTGCCAATCCTCAAGAAGCTGCGAATGAGATTTCATGCGTATAACCCCCTCGTGAGATCATGGGATCTAGAGCATGTTTTGCCTCAGACAGCCACGACACGATCCGCTGCCTGTCCTGAAGAAGCTCGGGATGCGGTTCTCCATGTGCAACGCCCTCGCGAGATTCCCCTGTGATAGGACTGCTGTGTTTCGAGCATGTTTCACCTTGAGTAGGCACGATACACGTACTCGGTGGCGCAGCCGGTAGTAGAGCTGTTCTACACCAACGAAGGTACAATATTCCCAGCCACCATGGTTGCCTGCCCGTTTCCTCATGTTCGCCCACTTTGTCTCACTCACGACCACACGTTCGCTCCCTTCCTCAGGCTGGTGGTCTGCTAACGGGAAAGCACAGGTTTGAGAACCCCTCCGAAACAGGTCGCTTCGGCACCAGCACCGCCTGGGGGGCGATGTACAGGTACGTCCTCTCCCTCTATTGTGTCATACTCACACGGGGTCTCCCACGACGGAGGCCAAGTGTCGTGCCCCGAGCTTCGTTGACCCCACCTCCGGTTGGTCGTGACTTCGGCTTGACCACAAAGAACCAAGAAAATACAGAAGACAATCCCAGATAACTAGGTTGGTACAAAGAACGAGCAATAGCTGACTTGTCACGAAACCGTGATGCGCCAACGGCGAATTCGAGCGAATACGCAACGATCCAACGATTGATCCGCGGAAACGTCGGTGTCTGTTCTTCATCTCTAGCTGCGGAGCTCACGGATAATTCGCCGATTTGCAACCCACCTTGACAGTCAATTGCGCGTTCCTTCACGGTCGATGCGCGTTCCCATAAAATAAGCAATAATCACTGGTTGGCTACGGGTTTGCTCACCTTTCAAGATGCTGACGTCTACCCTATGAAAGCAGGAGCCGGTATTGGCACAAGCCCTTGTTCGACCAAATCGACCAGCTTAAGGTTCTCTGCGACAAACACGGAACCGATCTCGTGTCGGCTTCTTTCCGGTGGATGCGTCACCACTCGAGCCTCAGCGGTAAGACCATCGCCGTCGTCCTCAGTGTTTTTGTTGTTGTTGTTGTTGTTGTTGTTGTTGTTGTTGTTGTTGTTGTTGTTGTTGTTGCACCGTGCCAGCGTGCAGCAAGAAGCATTTCTCGAATATGTTGGATTTTTCCGCCGGCAGAAACGTTTCACGATATTTTTCGTTTGCGGCGCTGCCATCAAGTTATTTCAACATTTCAAATTTCGAATGACCTAGAGCAAAGTTTTTCTTCCTGCTTCTCGTCGATACGCGGCAAGGACTGTATCGTTTTACTGAACCACCGTGTGGTTTTTGCAGGGGAGCTTGGAGATGCCGTGATCATTTGTGGATCTTCGGTGGCGCAGGTGAAGAGCAACGTCGACGCCTGCAGCGATGAGAACCCTCTCCCGAAGGTGATGTTTGACTGACGGTAACGACAATTGCTTGATTCTTGCTTTCGCTGCAGCTCTGGGTGAGAAACGGAGGAACGGTGTCTGTCGCCGTATCCCGCGTAGTTCCGATGTTTCACGGCACCTCATCTCCACGTGTATGGATCATGGATCCTTCATCCCCCCTCTCTCGCGAAGTATTCGTGGCAATGAACTGGTAGGGGGGGAAGTCAGGTCAACTATAGGCGGCACCGGTATTGCAAGTTCCACTGCAATAAAAGCTGTACGTCCTACATGCCGCCAGGCCCTTCAAGCGCGGGAGAAAGCAATAGTTCTGGCGGTATCGGCGTGCTCGAAAGTTCCCCGTAGAAGCTTGCCTGGAGTAGCAATTGCTCGCTTCGCTCGTCCGGATGTACACTGACTGAGTTTCCGACGAAATCGCTCGTGCATGTGCCGGTGTCCCTTCTACTTGTTCATGGATGCTGCAAACCGCCGGCCCGCCGCAGGAGCTTGTTGACGACTTTGAAATGGCGTGGCAATCGGTCAAGCCGCGCTGCCCATCGTATGTTCTCGAAGTTGACGGCACCACCCAGTGACGGAAAGCGCAGAGCACAGCGTGAAGGATCTGCGCAAAACGCAACCAATGCTACAAGCTGGTTCAGGGAAATGGATACAACAAGATTCAACAGCAAAACTTCACGCCGTTTTTAGGAGTTAGACTCTGAAACTTTGCACACATGTACCTTGGGTCATTACGAAACGCTGTGTGGAGGTTTTTTTTTTTTTCCCTCCCCTTCGGTGTTTGCCATCGGGGTTGGGTTTTCGTCGCTTGGCAACGACGTTGTAAAACAAGCCAATTCACTTCGTGAACTCGGCAACCAGGTTATCGTTTTTTTTTTCCTCTGTTTCTTTTTTTTGGCGGTAACCATAGTGGTGGTCGAGTAGATCATGTTGTGCGGGGTATAGAACCCTCGCTCCGCGCAAGGGGGATGATCGCATCACGTTGTGTGAAAATGGTCAAGCACCCTCGAGGCAGTTACACAATGCTTACAACTTTCTCTGGAAGTGAAAGCACCACAAAATAAATTCATTCATACGTAGCTGTCATCCGTACGCAAGGAAGTAAGCACAAGATGCCGAA